AAATAGTCTGGTCTCATGGGACTAGGGGCTGACTAGAGAACCTGAAACAATCTGCAGTATTAAGACCTCAAGGTACCCATTTCCTGCTGCTGCTTTGCCTCTTCCGCACACAACCCTTTAATTAGTGTGTGTGTATATGCACACATGTGTGCATGTACTCGTGAGTTCTCTTGGTTTAGATACTCCGGTGTCGTCTTCCTCGGTCATTCTTTAGTTTTCTTTACTCTTTACTTCATATTTTTCCTCCCTCCCTCCCTCCTTCCCTTCCTCTCCCCTTCTTTCTTTCTTGAGAATCTCTCACTGAACCTGGAGTCTAGAGCTCACCAATTGGCTAGGTTGCATGAGTTCCAGGGAACCTGCCTCCCCACCTTGCTGCCTCACGGATGCTAGAGATCTGAACTCAGGTCTTCTTCTTTGGGCCCACAATCCGTTTGCCCACTGAGTCGTCTCCATAACCCTTGGTATGCTCAGTATGTCTTTTCTTAGTTATGCAGTTGTGACTTAGAAATAGGTGTGGTTCTCACTGAGGGCATTGCCATGGAAGACACGTGCGTGAAATGAAGCTTGGTGCAGTAGATGGAATGCCCATCCATCAGATTCAAGCGTTAAACCCCACTATGATGTTATATGGGAACGGGGACTTTTGGACTTGGGTGGATAACAGGAATGGAGGTATTAGGAACGACATTGGTACCTAATAAAAGGGAAACAGGGAGCTTCTTTCTTCTTCCAAGAGAGGACACAGAACGGAAATGGCCATCTATGAGGGAGGGTGCCCTCTCACGCATCAAATCTGCTGGCGCTTTGACTTTGGACTTGGCTCTCCTCTAAGACACTTTGCAGAGATGAATGTTTGCCTGCAGACATCATTTGGTTCCCATTTCGACATGTCTCCTCACTTACCTTCTCTTTCCTGACTGTATTTCAGCCTCACCTCCAGAATACGGGAAGATGGCTGTTTTCTGCCAGAGGACCTGGGTCTGTCAGTCATTGGGCAGAAGATAGTAACCATTATGGTTACAGCTATTCACTTGCTAATTCAGGATTAAAATAACCTTGCCAAGTATGATTTATAATACAAATCTCCCTTAAACATTGGAGTTACTCTAGGGCAGAATTTCTGATCCTCAACAGTGGAGATAGTTAGCTGGATGATGATTATTGTAGAAGCCTTTCTGTGCATTGTGGGATATTGTCAGCATCCTCGGCCTTGTGGAAAGTTATCAGCAGCCTCGGTCTCTACACACACACACACACACACACACACGAGATGACAAGAGCATTCTCATTTTGGTCATCACAGATGTCTCCCTACCTTGCCAAATGTCCCAATGGAGGGACAAAATCTTCCAAGTGAGATGAGCCACGGGAACACATCACAGCATTTTACCTCTGACTTTTCTATGGTATGTTATTTTTTTTTCCCCAAAGTAAGTTGTTATCTGTTCTGGCAGTGTTGATTCAGAACGTGGGCCCTTTGTTCCTTCCAGGATGGATTGGCTGTTCCACCCAACTACTCTGCAGTTTCCACATTTATCAACTTAATATCTTCCTTTAACCACCACTGAGCTGGAAAGAGACCTACTGTGTATAAGTGGATGACAAGTAGTATATTCTTTTCCCTCATCTTTCCTTCCCTTCCTTGATAAAGTCTTTAGATTCCATTGTGTTTTATATCTAGTTATAACTGAGCAATTCTTGGCCTTGGGAATTTGAGTGGATTGCAGTTTCATGAGTCCTGGGGATCAAAACTGACTTTTCCTTCTTTTCTTTAAAGGCTTTGTTAATGTCCAGTTCACTTAACCAATTGACTCTGGAGTCCTACTCAAGGATAGGAGTAGAATATAAAAGAGTGTATTTAGTGTGATCCCAGCCTGTCTGCACATACATGTAAGCACACTAGATGTCCATGCTCACACACACACACACACACACACACACACACACACACACACTGGAGAGATATGTTTCAAAGCATAACACTCACTCGAGTGGAATTTATAATGTTTCCTTCTTTTGCACATTTCTGTTTTTTGTACAATAGATGTCTAATGATTGTTAAACTTAAAAAATTAAAAATGCTTTAAGGAGTCATTCTCAAGCTCTCCGCAATATAATGCAAGACTTGGCACCTGTCTACGGGTGTTAATAGTAACAAGAGTTTGACTGAAATGGCATTTATTTTTAGAAGACACAAGGATGACTGAGTCACCCATCATATTTTAGGGGGAAGGATGAAACAAGAAACCCCAAAGGAACAGGTGAAGATTTGCTAGGCTGATTTCTGTCTTGTGCTCCAAGTTTTATGGGTCAAGATATATGTATGTGTATGAGCTCAGATGGAACTTTCCTGAGCTCCCGCGGGGCTGAATTTAGCAGTGAGCTAAGGCTCTGAGCCCCAGAGAGAGTCACCCAGCAGTCACTAGCAGAATGGCTAGTGTATCCTGGGACTGTGTATATTTAAAAGCTGTCCAGTGAGTACTCTGTGTTCCTAGAGCATGTTGGGCTTGCTGGTCTCCAAGTGGCTTGAATACAAAACACTTCCCTGAAACACCATTGGCTGCTAAGCAGGCTCACAGGCTGTGGCCTCCAGCGCCTCAGTGAACCAGAACTCACAGACACAGATACTGTGTACTCTTAGAAACCCGAGTGAGCTTCCCTCAGGGAGATACTTCAGTGCTGCATTGGGCTCATATTCTTTCTCGCCACATGTACATCATAAAATGCTATAGCAGAGTGTCTGTGACTGGTGAAGGGGGAAGAGTGGGTGAATGACGATAGTTAATTCTGACCGCATAGTTTGATCAATGATGTGCTTGTCACCAAGTTTGAGTGATACAGAAGGCAGCATGCAGGCTTGGGAGAGAGATACATCAGGCCCTGAATCCGACTTCTACCACATGCACCCACACGTCACACATAACGAGAAGCCACCCAGCCTCCTGCAGCTCTCTTCCTCATCTGTGGAGAGGGTACCACACAGACTTCCTCCTAGTTTCACTGCAAGGATAAAGACATAGAACACGGGTAAGAAAGGCTTGGTGTGTGGCAGCCACTGAACGTTCTTCTCTCTCTGGTCACTTTCCAGACGTGTGGCTGACAAGTCGCATCCATCACAAATTTTCACAAGCTAATTCCTGTAAAGGGACAGGGAGTAAGTGTTTCAGTAGTGGGACGAGAGGAAACACTGAGATACCACGCACGGATTTACATTTCAAAGGGGAAACACATTTCTGCCAGTTTTCATTGATGAAAGTACACGAATCTGAGCATAAAGATGATGTACAATATTCTTCTGATATAACATAAAATGGAAATAAAGGAATTGGCAGGGAATAACATCTCATTTAATTAAGGTTCAAAGTTAGGGATCCTATCATCAAATTGATGGCCCCTGTTCTCTGTACAAAGCAGTCTTAGCTGGTAAGATATCCAATACCAGACAGCAGACTGAATTTGTTCTATAAGCAAATAATGAATTTGTTCCATAAACAAATCCCTACTGTGGGACATTTTATTTCTAAGGCCAATCTCTACTTGTGCTCTGACCCTATTAGTGAGGAGTAAATGATTTGAAAACATAATTGATAAGCAATTCTGTGGTGATATATTATGTACCCTAATAAACTTGCCTGAGGATCAGAGAAGAACAGCAGCCACTGTTCTTACCTCTATGAAATCTTCAGCCTAAGAGAGTGAGTTCCTGTTTCCTCATGCCTTATATACCTTTTTCTGCCCTGCCATATTACTTCCTGGGATTAAAGGCCTGTGTGCTTCCCAAGCAAAGGAATGAGATCTCAAGTGCTGGGATTAAAGGTGTGTGCCACCACTGCCTGACCTCTATGTCTAATCTAGTGGCTGGCTCTGTCCTCTGATCCTCAGGCAAGTTTACTAGGGTACACAATATCTCACCACACAATTCTTAAAGAGTTGCCATCTGGAGAGGAGACAGAAATAATTCTTTAAATGAATGGACTCTGAGATGTTGTCAGAGTACTTAATCTTTTGTAACTAGATGATTCTCCAAAGAATATCCTCTTTTATGGCCGATCTGGAAAAGAGTGGGGAGACATTATCAGGCCACACAAACTGACCACCTACAAAGAGATAATCAAGCAATAAATAGATAGGAAAGCAGAGGGCCACTTAAACAGATTCTCCCGGCTTTTGATCAAGTAAGAAAAAGACCAGCCTGTCTCCAGTGACGATGCAGCTAAATCAGGGCTTACCATTTGGTACGTAAATATCAGCATCCCTTCCTGCTAGCCTCCCAGTGACCAGGATGGACAGATTCAGGTGTATAGACTGAAGTGACTGACCAGCGCTGAGGTGAAAACCAGACTGCAAAATCCTGTGAGAAGTGTTCTTCCCACAAGGCGGCACATCTCAGTGGAGAGCTAGAGATCGTGAGGAAATACCCAGTGGAATAGAGGAGACCCGAGTGGCTGTTGAAGCAGCAAGACTTGCTTACAAACTGAGGACCATGAGAGGACCCTGATGCTGAATATTTGACGGATATGGATGTGTGTTGAAACATATGGATCAAGAAGGGACTAAGTTAATAGTGGAAAGAACCCACATCCTAGTGGTAACACATTGTTATTTCTGTGACAGAAAAGAACAATCTCTCTGCAGCAGGAGTTCTGAAATTCACTCAGAGACCAATGATGGTGACGTTCTTTAGGAGAGCATTTAAGAGTTCCAAGACAGGTGCGCATAGCTTACAATGTTTGTGACTAACGTCTTCTTGGGAAATAGCCAAGCTTGAGGCAGGGATATTTTGAGATGTGTCACTTTGGCTGGGGAGCAATATTTAAGAAAAGAGGATTTAGCAAGTGGGCTTTGGTGGTAGACTTTTAAAATTCTCCTCCGAGTTGATGCAAACATGCATTTCTCCATTCGTGTGTCAAGAGAACATAGACCAAATGTTTCGAATTATTTTTAACCAATACCTTGGAATAAAACACAGAGTTTACATAAATGCCAAAGAAAAGTGGAAGTACTTTCAAGCAAAATTTATTAGGTTATCTACTCAAGAAAAACACAATGACCTTTGCTTGTAAGAATTCAAAGTCAATGACCTGAAAGCCAGGTCTGAATAATTTTTTTTTCCTTTTAAAATCAGATACAGAGAGTAGAAACAGCAAATTTTCTTAAATATGACAGGCAACGCAGTTGAAGATTTGTTTTCATAAACGGTGTGAAAAAGTAGTATTCATTCAGCTGCATGTGGCTGACTGATTTCCAATCCCAAGTTTAGTTTATCTAATATAAAGTTGGTTGTGAACTGGATAGTAAAGTGGCGTTCTCAAAGGTATTCCCCCCACCCCTTAAATGACGTTCCTTTGTAAGTAAGATTTATGTGCATTTCAGATTGGCTACAAAGATCTTTTCAATTCATAGAATTTTGTGTAAATGCTAGCTTCCAGATTCATGCTAGCCTGTGACCTGTGAAGATATCATAAAGGGTGATCTGCTGGAAGTGTTTAAACTCAGTGTAAGTGCAGGATAAAGATCCAATTGGGAAATCCCCCTGTTTTCTGAACAAGTAAATAGTCTGTACAAAAAGAAGAACAAACATATGTACAAAATGCTAGAGTCTACATGTTGTATGAGATCAAGCATTGCCCATGGGAGGAAAGCCGTAAAAAGTTTTGTCTATAAGGTGCTAAAGATTCAAAGACGAACAGGTCTTATGCAAATTCATTCGAAATACAAAGGTAAGTCTCAGGGTATGTGGAACACAGGCACTGTGAATCCGTTCAGTCTTTCAGGCTTGGTATCATGTTATAGAACTGTTTGGGGGCAGGAAATGCAACCTGAATGAGTTAATCATTGTTTCTAAAAGGGCCTAATTCATTATTTCTAGGAAGTATTTTACACACACCAGAAAAATCAGGCTCAACATATATATTATATATATTCCTGTCTGCAAATGGAGTCAGGATTCTGGGTTCCATAGAAGAAAAATAATTATTGTAGTAAAAATAATTGTATTGATCATTGTCCTTGCTAAAGCCAGCCTTAACACTCAGGGTGCTCCTGAAGTACTCTATAAAATCATGTGGGATTCTTTTACATTTCCATAAAATGTACAACATAGCATATGATTTTTATGTCCTTATACAACCTTGAATGTGTAAGTGTACACACAGTGAAACTTACCTATGGGTATTATTCATCTCTTTGCCTCTCTTACTAACACTGCTTTTAAGTTTTAACAGATAAATAAAACACTAAGAGCTCACTGTTCATGGTGCTGATGATTACATTTTAATATAAAACAGCAATGCAAATTTACAACACAATTTTTCCTGCGGTGTGGCTAAACCTTCATGATAGTCATAGTAGTGACCAATGGCTCTTAATCACTCACTGTTTGCACTTCTAGTAAGTACACACAAAAAAAAATGGGCAGGAAAGACTCCTAGGTGAAAACTTAATGCAATCAACAAAAATCACACCCATCCCTATTAACTTTCCTACTCACTCTAGATTTTATAATCACTGTGCATAAAACAATATATATAAGTGCAGGCAAACAATAGCTGAAGCATAGTTGTCATATAGTGTAAACTCAGGGCACCAGGCAAACTTGTGAAAGGAAAATATACTGCCAAGCTGAAAGTGAAAATGCAAACCACAGCATTTCAGAAAACTGGCTTCCTGAGGACAGAACTCCTTCCAGAGAGGTGGACGTACAGCCATGAGACCAGACAGCCTCCTGGAGTCTCTTCTCTTTTCTTTCTTTCTTTCTTTCTCTTTCTTTCTTTCTTTCTTTCTTTCTTTCTTTCTTTCTTTCTTTCTTTCTTTCTTTCTTTCTTTCTTTCTTTCTTTCTTCCTTCCTTCCTTAACTATTCCATTCTTTTTGAGTATGATGACTTTCATTCTGATTCCACACACAAACGTTTCAAAGTTCAGGACAGAAAGCAGGAAATGGCATTTATGTGGGTGTAAGTTTGCCACATTTCCCTAAGGCTCCCAGCCTCCCCAAGGCTCACAGCGGCAGTCACTGCTGGTGATTTGGTGGCAGCAGGTGGAGATGGTGATGGCCTATGGGAAACCATAAGGCATGGCAGCGACAGGATGTTCCAGGTGAGTTATGCAGATGTGTTGCTGACATGTGGAGTAAATAAGGAGGGAGGTGATTCACAGCCTCTTGACGTAGTTCCCAGGAAAAGTACCAAAGAATTTGGTTCTTCTTGAAGTTCCTGAAAACAGAGGCAATAAACGAAAAGGTGTGTAACAGCAATGAAATGTCAGGTACTACGTCTGCTTGAAGACTCTCCAACTACAAGGGTTCACTGAGAGAGCAAGCCCTAAATAGTTTGGGAAGGAATAAAGAAAACTCACTTTAGGACAATTAAAAGAGAAAGCAGGCAGTTTAATTGTCTTGCCTGATGTGTTATTGTTGCATTTGCATACATGATAGATTTCCATCACATTGAGCTAAATGGAGAATCCCAGTATCCCAATCTAGAGAGACAGACAACTGCGTAGAAAGCTGGGCACTAGGACTCAGGTTACCATGATGCCAAACAAGGACTAAAAGACAGCTCTGAGGCTTGCAGTGGGATAAGATGACTGATGAGTAGGGAATACACACAGGAGGAAGGGTTGGTTCAGGAGCAGGAGGCCTCCTCTGTGGTGCCACATGGCCACTAGAGGGGACACAGCCAATATCACAAGTGTTACAATCTCATGCTCAGTGCTATCTCACTCACTAAAAAAGTGGTCACACTTCTTAACTAAATAGAGACTTCTGAGCAATTAAAAAAATCACTAAATTTTTAAAAAGTAGAAGATTGGCTACTACTTGTGTGGGTATGTGGAATGGAGCTCAAAGGAGCTCAACCATTGAGGATGATGTCTAACAAGGGCAGTTAAACCAAGGGCATGCATGGCTATTCTTATGGCCCTCTTTGGTTTCATATGCCACAATTCTTCAGATATTTTCTATAAAGTCTTTACAATAAATTATTTTGTATTTTATCATAGCAGATTGGGTAGGGCCTCTAAAATTTCATTTCTCATTAACATTCTATAATTTATTGGCTTGTTTACAACCCCTACAAATCATGTATGTATACCATTTCTCTTCTTGTAGATGGGGATTAATAGAAATAACAGAATCTAAGGCATGTATCTGCCCATGTGACATCAGTCCTTTCATTAGCTCGCCACTGCTGGACTAGTCTAGAGAAAGATTTCATCCTCACACTTTTATTTTTAAAAAGATTTTATGTGTATGGGTATTTTTGCCTGAATGTATGTCCATTGCTCCACATATACAGTACATATGGAGGTCAGAACGGGTATCAGATGCCCCTGAAACTGGAGTTATAGACAGTTAATAGACACTACGTAGGTGCTGAGAATGGAACCCAGATCTTCTTAACTCTCTCCAGCCCTCCCTACACTTTTCCTTGTCACCTCTTTCCTTTGTGTCTGGGTATATACTTTCGTCTACTAATATTTTCTTAGAAGACCTCAAGTTATCTCCTCCTCCTCTTCATCTCTTTGCTCATCTCCCTCGCCCACTTCTTGTGCTGGGGACTGGACAGTTGAGCAGTGGCGGATGTTAAGCAGGTACTCCATGACAGAGCTTTCAGTCTTTAGGATGGTAACTCTGGGCTTGCCTTTGAAGCGGCAACAAAGGTAAGTCTCTCTTCTGCTAACTGAAGCGGAGGAGGATCCCTAAACTTTAATGATGGACTACATCAGTCCTAGCAAATGGGTCATTCTCCTTTTCATCTTGCTCCCCATCAAATGACGTTGCCCCTGTTGACAGCTAACATTTTTCCATCGAACAGGGCAAAGGTATTTCCTGCCTGGGAACATAAGGTGTTTTTGTAATTGTTATTGTGACATCACAGCCATTTCTAGTTGGGGCTATTTAAAGAAAATTTCCTAGTTGGGTTGAAATAAAACTAGCAGAAAATCACATATATCCACAGCAGTAAATGCTACACTTTATTAAAATGCAGTGGCTTTGGGATATACAGTACACCATTAATTGAAAAGAGATTAACTCTCCTAGTGACCCATGCAAGTGAGCAAATTTAAACAAATGATCAAACAGCCAGACGTGTCTGAGAAAAATTGAGCACATACCCACGAACCATCCATCGTCACACTTTTCCATCACATCAACGACATCACTTTCTCTGAGTTCCAGCTCATCTTCATTCCTAGGAGTATAGTTATACAGAGCCTGAAACCTTAAACGGGACAAATGGGCATGTTTATTCCATATCTTCATGAAGTTATAGAAATTAGCACAACATTCATTTCAGCTCTAACATTTCTATTGTCAATGTGCTGTGTTAGGAATGTTAAATCTCTGCGAAACATGTAAAGTCAATAGTAACATTCAGATTCTCATGGGAATCACAACACTTTAATAACATTTCAAACTTACAATGAAAAATATTCAGGGAAGATTATAATATTCATGAATTCAGCAAAAGCATTCTGATATTTGCAGGCCAGACCTGCATCTAAACTGTCTAGACATATAATGTTTGTCATTCAGGTGCTACATAATGATATAGAATCTAAAATAAATGGTATCTGTATTGGACAGCCACATTAAGATGGATTACAGATTTAGCTAACCATAATCATAAACAAATAATGCAGACTTGGAAATGGAATTCTCAAATGGTTCTAAATTGAGTTGTACAAAATGCTTCAGACACACATTTTGTAAATGATGTGGGAATTATTATCAAAGGAAGACTATGTGTTTATCATAGGAAACCCTTTAAGGAAGATTAGTTTTATAATCTGAATCAGGATTTGAAGTGTGAAGATTTCATGCAACTCAACTATGACCTTGAATCATAGGTGAGGCTTTATACATGGCCATCCCTGGCCTGGCACAACTAGCAGATTCTGGACTTTTAAAAAGGTGTCCAGGAAAAAAACTGTGCTTGCGTTAAAAAGTCTCCTTTGAAATAATCATGTGTGAGAGAGAATTACGGAAAGAATGCCGCCATCTTGTTTTTCTTGTCTGAACTCTTTGATAGAGAGATGATGACATTTATCTATCATGTGTTTGAATACTGAATATATTTGGCATTGACTTTTATGACTATTAAATCTTGTGACTATTAGCATGGACCAGTCCTTGGGAAAGTAAAGACTGTCATTTTGGAGGCTAAGAAGGCTGGAAAGAATTTGATATGCAGTCAGTGGGAAATTTTCGTGATATCACTTATTTGTCACTGGTATGATCAGAGGATTAAAAAGACTGAAAAATTTGTTTCCATTGCTTTTTATAATTGTCATATAATTGTGCTAATGTAAGAAAACAAGGGGGCCCTTTAGATTTATTTTAGGCCACTGTTAAAAAGTAGATGACACTGAATTCTACTTTGGAACAAGAATGCTTTATTTCTGATTACTTTATCAAGTCAGAACAATCGTATTTTGGTAGACTAAGGCTACTCTGGTACTTGAATTGAAACATTGTGCTATAAATGTGCAACAACTTCACTGGTTCCCTCTCTGTTTTTGTCTCCTGATCATGGGATATAGATAAAATTGGCTTCAGGGAGTTGTATGAAAGAGCTTTGCCTCTCTGTAAAAACCATCATCTTCCCTAACCTGGCATCCAACCCTGAAATCCCTACATTAGAGATTTCCCCCCTAGTTAATAATGTTCCCTTCTAGTGGGCAATTTTAGCCATTGATATTCTTTGAGCCCTTTCAAGTCCTCTGATGTCTTTTGTTGGGAGGGGCTTCAGCTTCTGGTCATGGAGAGAAACAGAGCCAGACCCTAGAAGAGGTGCCAAGAGAGACTGGCAGGGGCCACCTCACTAGGACATTTGCCTGGGTCCAGCCTTAGGAGAAGAGGAAAACCATTTTGTTGTTTGCGTGTTGGTTAGCGTCTGAGGCTGTTGGTGATAGAATGATGTGATTTGGGATGTTCACAGGGCAAGGGGATTTCAGCAAGGCTCTTTGTCCATTCTCGAGCTTGAGGGACATGGTCACCCCTGGCTGCTGTGTTGATGGACGTACTCTGCAGTTGCTTTGGGAAAGCAGAGTCTCTCACTGAGCTTCTCAGGCTCTAACCTTACTGAGGCATAACTCCAACCACTTAAGGTCTATTTAAGGCCACAGACTCCAGCTGCTTGAAGACTCTCAGGGTCCTCAGAGCTAATAAACCAGAATTGGCATGGACTTCCAGCTCATTTTTATATAAAGAAAGCCAAGTACTCTTGTCAAAATTTATTTACCATAGTGGTTTAATTAGATCACACAGAAAAAGGTTTCATGGAAACACAAACAAACCTTCCTGGAAATCCTTCTACCTCTGCTGGTTTTCAAATCAGTGTTGCATGACAGGAAATGCAGCCCAATTAAAATAAAAAAATGCTGCCTTTAAATAAGTTGGTGAGATAATGGTGGTGGAGGGGTCAAGATTGCCTCAAAAATAAATTTGTCACTTAAGAAATGCCGAGCCAAACTCAAAACTATAACCTGCACCTTTTATTGTCCCTAAACTGAACCACAGCAAAGTAGCTTAGGTTTCTACTTTTGCTTCACAAAATATTTTTCTAAATATATGCAATTATCTAACCTTCCATAATCCCTCTAATTCAGGCAGCAACGAAACATAAATTTGATAAAGAATAAAATCTAAGGCAAGGTTTGGAAGTGTATTGTTCCTGCCTGTGGGCTATGTGATATTAGAATAGCCAAATGACCACGGCTGCATAGGACACAACAGAGCACTACTTGTTCATATGCCTCGAACGCTGTTTAGTAGAACATGCTAGCCTTGTCGTCACCCTTCATACCCTGGAGTGTGTTTTTTTGTGATGTAATCCTATCATTGTTTGCACTTGTAAACGAGCAACAGAAACATTATTACAAGTCGTCCTTAAGTTTTTCCAATTAGGTGAGGTTTTTCAATGATTATTACTTCTAACCTAGTCTGTTTGGGATAAAGACCTCTTCCTAGGAATACCTTCCTGGCCACACTGTGCGAGAGGCACTTTCAGAGAGTGATGAGTTCTGAAAGGTGTGTTTTTAACCATGGAGAACAAGGAGGGACTCTTGGTGCCGAAAACACCAGTTCCACACCAGGGCCTGCCCACAGAGAAGAGTCTTGGGTCAGCATGTTTTTCACCAAGTGAACAGAGCTCGGGCAGAAGGCTCAGGTGCACAGGGAAAGGCCGAGGACCCTGGCGGTGGCTTCTGGAGGTCTCTTGGGACTCAGTCTAGGCAGGAGCCAATAGGAAGTGGATAACTGCTGGGAATCTTATTGTAAACTAGGCCAGAGGAAGATAAATGGGACTCTTCATGGCAATGTGTGATCCATGCAGGCTGATTTCACAAATGTATCAGGAGAGGGAATTTGGAAGGAACATTTGAAAAGGCACATTCTTGGTGTGGTGGAAATTTTTATCATGTATCTGAAGAGTAGTGAGTGCTTTAATACTGCTATCTCTGAAAGACATTTTGAAGCATGTGTCATAGTGTCATGGAATTATACTACTAAGGTAGAGCTTAGGTATACTTTTGAAGTATTCCAATAAGTGGAAAGACAATGTTAGGACATGGTTTGTCTGTCTTTAAAGTTGTGGTTACCAGTTATACAGCCAGTAAAGGAAGAGATGGATTTATAAATTGTAGGAGTCACTGTAACACTGGAGAGTTTTCCTTTGTTATTTATTAATTTTTAAGTGTTTTGTTTGATGTATGTATCTGCACCCTGTGAGTATGTGTTTTGCTTGATGTATGTATCTACACCTCTGAGTGCCTGGTACCCATTGGGGGGCGGCTAGGAGAGGGTGTTGGATCCCCTGGAACTGGAGTTACAGATGGTTGTGAGCCCCCTTGTGGATGTGGAGAATCGAACCCAGGTCCCCTGAAAGAGCCCAGTGCTCTTAGCCATGGAGCCATCTCGCCAGCCCTTCTGTTTTCCTTCAAGCATTAGCGTCCAATCTCATTGAGAAAGCAGAACCTTTCGATCTCTTGTGCGGGACACTTCACATTCACTGTTCGATCCCTTTCCCTTACAAAGTCCTATTGTCCTTTGTCTGGTACGCCTGTTGTCCATATTGTGGGTCAGGGTTAGTCTTTGATTTAGAAGATAAGAACAATACTTACGGTTCCCCCCCACCTTGAATGTTTTCGTGAGTGAACATAGGACGATGCGGCTGAAATGAAATGATTTTCAGTGTTATCAGTGCTGGAACAGGTATCATTAAAAGGCAATTTGGGTTATAGCATGATACTTTTCTGGACATTTAATATTTCCTGTTGTAAAAAACCAAGAGGAAAGAAAAACAATCCACCAAATAAAGGGTTTCTGTGCTCTTAATAATTAAAGTGTTTTAAAGGGTGCTTTGAATCAGAATACCCAAGGTTCAAACTTTTGAACACATCCACAATCTGGTCTCTTCCAGCTTTAGGGGAAGGTTGAGTCCCATTGATTTTTCCAAGGTCAGGAATATGGCAAGAACAAGGACATTAAGTCACAGAAGCAGGGAGTCTGGACCCCGTCATTCACCCTCATTCTCTAGCGCTCTCTCAGACAAGAAGAAGGGAGCCACGTCGAGCAATAACCACATTCACTCCGAGCTTTTCCTCCACAGACGACGACATTGCCACATATGGTACGGATGAGAAAGTCAATAGCCAGACATCCCATGCTGCATTTGAATTTCAATTCTCTGCTCTCAGTGGGGTAAGGGGTGGGGCAGGGAAGCACATGCAGTTTTCAAAAGGGGAGACAGAGAACTTTCAGAAGAATGCAACGGACAATATCCAGGAAACATATAATGCTTTACCTTAGAAGAGAAATATTGGTAGAAATCCCCAGTGCACTGAACTCTCAAAAGAGTTTCCTTTCTTTTTAAACTAAGCATCAAGACCAGTATCTGTAATAGATACTTATAATATTGGAAATGACGAGCCTTAGCATCCTGTATAGCCACACAAATACTTCAGAAAATGAACTTTAACACATTGGTTGAATATGGAAACTCAGTGTAATTTGCATTGATCATCCACATGCTATGTTTTTGGGAGATAGATGCATTCGATCCATTCACATTTCAAACATTTTTTTTTTTTTGTGAAACGACAGCAACCTGGTGAGATAACCAGTCAGATCCTGGACTCTGATGATAATGGAATTTAGTTGTTTATCGGGCCGTGTCTTTAGATATCAGGACCAGTGCTTGGATACACATAGTTATTACTGATTATCATAATGTAGAAAGAGTTCCCCTGAAATTGTCCATAGAAACTTCTGGTCCAAGGATGGAGAGGGAACCCTGGGGTTCCCTTCAGTATGAGTCTGTTGATCCTAAATTTATCTACTATCTTTCAATCCATATTGTCTATTGAGTGCAGATTAAGTATTTTCACCACTGAAACTTGAAGCTTTAAGTCTATTAATTGGTAGCATTTATTAACAGCATTCCTAGAGTTTTATTCAACATCTATGCATAGAATACATAAATTTAAACTTAAAGAGTGGATAAGAATTACTGGCTATATAGATGATTTACTACTATAAATCAGTATAAAATACCTAACAGTATTTAAAATTATAAAGTAAGATTATTAAATATAAAATATTAAAAGTATAAATTACATCATTTTTAAAGATAATGAAGACTAAGCTGGGTATGGTGGCATGCTTTTAATCTCAGCACTCTGGAGGGAGAGGCAGGCAGACCTTAGTGAGTTCAAGGCCAGCCTACAAGGGCTACATAGGAAGTGCCTGTCTAAAAAAAAAAATGAAGATCAAACCATTCTCCAGACATTTTTTGAGATTTGTAATTAAAGAGATAATTAATCAATTTAAATATATGAAGAAGCAAGTGTAAGCCATCCATATGTATGTATTATATTTCCAGTCCCTTTCTATTTTCCTGCTAAGTTAAAAATTGAATACCACTTTAAATCAATCTGTTAGTTAACTTAAAGCGATCTATAATTTGAAGGTTGTAGTCCATTATTTAGTATCATCATTAGACTCTTACTTGCTCAGTACCTTTGATTTTCTAGCTTCCAAAATTATTTAAATGAATTGTCTCTTTGACAGTTAGGGAAGCTGGGGTGTATCTCTAAGTGTGTGTGTGGGGGGTCACTTAATTCCTGTGGGTGTGAGCCAGAAATTTCCTGGCTTTTAATCATCTTTCAAAGCATGTCTTTTCCCTTGCTTCACACCCTCCAAACCTTGGCCCCTCCTTTTCCCTCCTGAACCATCAGTTTCCCCCACAGTATTCACATCCTCAGCCCAGAATAGAACCCTTTTATTACAGAGAAGTTGTATACCTCATAAGATCATGACTTTTGAAAACATCTCAAAGCCTTTCTTTAACAGGAATTATCTTCAGATGAACTGATAACTAGTGGCCTGTTAGTGCAGAAAGTTGTCTAATTCCAGTATTGGAGTTAATATCGTTTACAAAGTCTTGGCCACTAGAAGAACGGTAGCATTAATGGTCACTTAGGAATGGGCATTTGTTGCTGTTTGGAGCACCGTCTGCTACCGACCTGTGGACCTTCAGCTCAGATTCCTCATCCTAAAATCAGTGGGTGAGACATGATGAGGGTGAATCTTGCCCCCTCATGGGGCCCATAAAGCAATAGATATTTCACTGACAGCTTCCCTTTGGTATGTAAAGAGTTCTGTCCTCAAACTTATATAGAAAATTAGCTAATATAGCCTCGTCATGTGAAAACCACAGTGGCATGTAAAGAGTTCTGTCCTCAACCTTATATAGAAAATTAGCTAATATAGCCTCATCATGTGAAAACCACAGTGGCGATAATTCACCCTCACTTTTTGTTAGTCAAGCTCTAAACTTAAAGACATTGGATGGTTTACTACGGCAAATGCATGTTAAAAAGGGATGGAAGGACAATTTTAACTAGCCCCATGTTGAATGAAGTATTATGATGGACTAGATGGACCAACTTGGTTAAGGTCAGCGTCTGTGTTTTGATCTTAGTACGGATGTTGTTCGTGTTTCCGGTGGGTATTCAAGCAAAGTGCTTCTGAATGCTCTTTGCTTCTGTGTCTGCCCTCTATTGCCACCTAATGGCAAGCAGTGGCAATAACACATTAAAAGTTGTTTTTGCTTTTGGTTGACGTGGGTCAAATTCCTTCAGTGTTGATTGATTGTGAAAGGATATTCTGAAGCCCACGGGGTAGATAATGATCTGTTTTTTCTACCATGCTCTCCCATTTCCCGTGTTTTCAATTCTGGAGAAGAAATGATTTGCTGGCACTGGTGTTTACGGCCCGCGTTCATTTCTATTTTAATGGCTCAGACGTTTCTCTCACGCATAACGCCTCAGCACTGCTGAGGTAAATATAGAACAATATACACTTAGAGCATGTGGAGAGGCTTACACAGACTGTGAGTTTGAGACAGCGGCTTTCAAGTTAACAGGTTGCCATTACCATACAGGGCAATTTGAGCAAGAATTATACTATGATTATATTCCTCCGGGAGGCTTTAAGAGTTCAAGAAAATTTTGAAAATCAGATGATGCATCATGCTACTTTCATGGCACCCTAATTATTTAACTTTTTTCTTTTGTTTTCTCTTTTTAGTGTCACGGTGGTTATTAACTGTATGAAAGCAACAGTTTCATTAAAATTTTTCATAAGTACATATGACATCCCTTGATTTTTCTTTTTTAAAAAAATGGTTGTAAAAATGCATACAAAAGAGGCAGGTTTTTAAACACATGCTGTTTTTCACAGCCAGGAACAATTATAAACCCCTGCTTACAATGAAGCTGGTTTGAAACCTATCCTAGAATCTGGGATCAGTAGACTACATACACTATTGCAGATGGAAGTTTAAAAGCCAAGTTTTTATTTATACTTCTCTTGACCTATCCCAGGAGAATTAGCTATATGTTAGAGAATTCCTTAAAAAGTATGTGCTGTTACTTTAAAAACAAATGTGGAAAAACTTTGCAAGCATTAAAAATAGCTCTTGGGTCCCAAACCGTTCTTTCTCAGAAAACGCTAGTTGTAGTACATATTAGCCAGAACTACCCGGCTGTAACTCTGGTAACTTACAATACTATGCTTATGCTTATTGGCTATTTTCCCTCTTAGATTACGAAGGTGAAACACATTCTGCATAAATCAAAAGAAAAGAGAATCTTCTGGTTCTCAAACACATTGAATCTAAGATACAAATTAATAAGATGGAAATATGGGCAAAAGAAAAAAAAACTCAGGGTGACGCAAAGCATGTCATCTTACCCCTGGGAACTTACGGATGAGAGCCATCAATTTTTGTAGAACTGACTCACTCTTTGTCTGCCCCTGTCTGTTCTCTCTCTTCCCTCCACCCCCAAATATATGTGTTAGCTTTAGTAGGCTGTTCAGTAGAGACTTAAGGATATCTACAACAAACTGACACTTCCCTCTGCCTATGGCAATACAATCTTCTTCAACAATAAAAGTAGGTCTGGCTACACAGAGCAACAAACACAAAGTGCCTTACACAGAAAACGATATTTGCACGTATGAAATGGAAAAAAAGAACACTAAAATTTAAGCCCAGAGAACTCGAAATTCAGAGCATAACTGTGAGGCAGGCCAGTCAAAGCTAAATCAGGGTCCATTAACTTAGACACCGTGAAAGGAGCCCTGAGGTATGTGTAGGTGGAAATCCCCAGATTCCTTGGCTGCCTTCCCCAGAGCCCGGGGTACCATTTAGAATCCATCCGCTCTCAAGTTCTGCAGATGTTACAGAATTGAATAGTTAGAGGGGAGGCAAGGGACCTCAAAGCTCAATCAAAGTTGTGAGGGAATTGGGAGCACACTGACTCCAGAGAGCAGCAGCATTACAGGGGGCAGCGTGGTGAGAACGTGGCATGTATCCCCCGAGCAACTGACTATTTTGAAATGGCTCACAGTTGAAAATACATCCATAGCAACCGAGAGACACTGGAGCTAACAGGACTGAAAGCAGGTGGGCTCGGTAGACAACAGGCAACACTTTATTTAGTTCTCCATACTCAGAACAATGACTGGAGAACAGCAGTTGAATATGGAAAGGAGACAGATGTAGAAAACACACACATACGGCACTCTGGTTTGTGTAGACAAGCATTTGATAACACCCATTTTGGATTTGAGAAACTTGACACATACAACAGGGAAGCACACAGCCTGTAGCTCCTCAACTACTGGCAGTTACATCTCAAGGGACTCCTCCCCAGCCTCACTTTACCGCCCAATACACAGCACAGTCACCTAAGGAAGAGCCAGGGTGGCCAGGATGACTGCCGCAGGTGGGGGTGTCCGACCCTACCCTGTGGGAACTGCTGTCAGGTGAACTGCAGGACCTCTTAGACATCACTGGGCTACGAGGCGGCTTACCCAGGACAAATGTCTTGCTTTTTAAATCAGCCTAGAAAAGCCATAAGAAGTGGGTTAGTTCTCATCTTCATTATGTGGCCTTCAGGAGGAACCTTCTTGGTTGGCTTGTTCCATGCACACACAGCATGCCAAGCTCATGAATACTAGCGGAACAGGGAGCGCGAGCAATCTGCATACAGCTTCTCTGCTCCGTACAGCTTCTACCCTCCAGACTCAGCTGCTACGATGGTGGGAGGCTCATGGTGAAGAAAAGATGTGGAGAGGGAAGCTGGCAGGAGAATGTGTTTGAATGTAATGGATGTGGCTAAGAACACACATCAGAAATATTACCTCCTTATTAAAAGAATGCTTAATAACTGCATCCAAAAACACCCTTCAACCTGTCTGTTTTCTTTGTATTTACCAAGTGGCAAGCAGTAATAAACAAGGTGAGATAAGACAAAATTTGGCTTACTGCCTATCAAGTTTTAGGGAAAGCATTAGGTTCTTAGAGGTAAAAATGTTCTAACTAAGTTCCTAAGAAGA